TTCCATTGTGTCTTGGGTAACTCATCACCGACTTCATTTCGAGGGATGTAGTTTCCTTGTTCCACAATGTCCCACATGTCTATATGACATGCATCAAAGCATGCAATCATTATTTGTTTCCAATAGTCATATTTTGTCCCTCTGAAGAGAGGTGGACGGTTTACGGCTTGTCCTTCACTTTCCATGATCGTTTCCCCTATAGTGTTAGATGCTCAACCCAAGGGGTCGAGCTTTCATACCAATTGAAGTTAGTGGAAATACACACAGAAAGGGGGTTTGAATGTGTGTGTGTTCGAAGGAAGATTTTTCAAAATCGTTTTTATAAAGATACTCCTTTTTCTTTTAATAAAAAGAGTATTCAAGCACTGTTGAAAACTTGTGCAGGCTTGTCTAACTAGAAAGCTTTTTGCGTCCAATAAACCTGATTGTTTGCTTCAAGGAACAAGTTGAGTAAATATGTTTTCCGTGTGAAAGGATTTATCGTCCAAAAATATTATTTCTTCAAAAATAGTGGACAAGTGTGTTTTCATCTAACAGTTTGTTGAAATGAAAGTAGATGAAAGACAATTTTTAAATAAGTAGTGCTTGAGAAATAGAAAAAGGTATGCAGATTTTTATACTGGTTCACTCAATTTGAGCTACATCCAGTCTCCTTCAACTAAAGGGTACCACTAATCACAGAGGATTACAAGTATTCTCAACCACTTATGGCTCGTCAACCTCACTTGTCGATGCTAGTATTCTTAACCACTTTTGGCTCTCCAAGTATTCTTGACCACTTCTGGCCTGCTAGCTTCACTCACTAGCGCTAGTATTCTCAAACCACTTTTGGTTCACAAGTATTCTTTCAACCAGCCTCTTCAGGCTTTACAGAAAATGAAGGTGTTGAGTGTGTTTGCAACTCTCACAGAGAAGATAGGATAGTTTCTACACTCACTAAGGTGCGTAACCTTAGTTTTACAGGAATAAGTGTTTGAGTGTTTTGTTTACTCTCTTAAAGAGGATAAACTATTAGCAATACTCACTAAGATAAGCTATCTTAGTTTTCACACAGATATACAGGAAATGCTTTGAGAAGAAATGTAGCTTATGATTTTTTGCTTTCTCTTTCTTATTACACGTTTTCTCTACTTCTCAGTTCTCTGCTTCTTCTTCTTCTTTTCCTTGATACTTATAGCCTGTTGATAAATCTGCCCGTTGTTTGAATTCAAATTTTTTCGTTGGAGCGGAGCTTCATGTCGTTGCAGATGGAGGCTTGTTCATGGCTATGTAAATCTTTTCATTTAATGCATTTGATCTTGCATGAAATGTTTGCTTGTATACTTGAAGTCCTTCTGTGTAGTTGATTATTTCAATGTCTAACTTCAATCATGATCTAGGCATATTTGTACTTTTCTCATCAGTTTAGCTGCTGAGGTGCTGTCTTTTTCTGACACACGCAGCTTTGACTTGTGAATTCACGCTTGCCTATTCTTCTTTATTCAGGTTTGATGTCCTTTTGTGTTTCTTATATGATTTCACTTAATGTGATTAGTGGACTTCAGACGCGCTCCATTATTTTCTGATTGCGTCTGGATACACATTTTAGTTTTGATTCTTTGTCTGGTCTTGACTACCTTTTACGTCTGGTAGTGATGACTTTGTCTACTTGTTCGTTAGGCTCTATCTGATGATTTTGCAAATCCATGTTGATGTTCAACCAAATTTCGTCCTGTTCTTGACTTAGTCTCATATAATGCCTGTTTTAGTCTTACATCTGATCCCTCAGGCTTCAGTTGATCTTATCTGGTATTTGATTTAGGCCTGGATCAACCTTAGTCTTGATACTAGCTTTGCTATCGTCTAATGTCTTGTTCAATTTGATTATGCTTGATTATACTTTGTCCTTCATGTTTGCCTGAACTTATTGTTATCCATCTGAAACACTAATGCACATGTTAGGAATAACAATATGTATTATATTTGTCATATTCAAAATCTCGATGGGAATTGCGAATGCGCTTCGTCTGACTTAACACAAGAATACGTTCAATCATGTTAATATAAATAGGTTCAACAAGCTAGTCTAGGAATTTATGACATGTAAAAAGGACTACACATGAATTCTAAACAAAACTTTTAGGATTCAAAAATAAAAACACATACTAATAACATTTTTCATACATGAATTAGAAGTTTAAGGAAAGGACTCAAATAAATAAAAAGGCACAAGCACTAGAAACCTATAAGCACCAAATGGTTTGGTTCAAGATTAAGGAACGAGCAAATTTATGAACCAAACAAACAATGAGACATGTAGATCTATTAGATCTATACAGCAAACATGACAAGATAATAAGGAAGACAACACATGACCGAAAGTTAATAGAAGAGAATGGAACACATAACCTTAAGAGCAACCATGGCTCTAGATACCAAAAATAATGGAAAAAAACTTGGAGAAGTGATTGGAGTTCTCCTCCTAGCTCCATCTTCATTGTCCAATCTTCCCTTGAGGTTCAAGTTCTTCATGGAAGCAAGGTTCAAACTCTTGGAGTTTGAAGAAACAACATCAATGGCGTGGCAATCTTCTTGAAGAAGAAGAATTGATGAACCAAGGCATAAAGGAAAAATTCCTTTGTGAAGTTTCTTAAGGATAGAATGTTCTCCACGGATTTTGACTCTAGAAAGAGAGAGAATTTTCTGAATTCTAATCTCATAAATGTCAAAAGTGATTACAAAGCCAAGGAAAAGACTTATATAGAGTAGGAAAACTTGTTGTGTAAGCTAGACTAACTATGGTTTAAGAGGACTATGGTTAGTTAAGCTGTCGGCCTAGTTAGTTTAGAAGGCTTGTGGAGCAAGCTTCTAACTAAGAAGCTTGGGAAGCAAGCTAAATTAGAAGCTTGTAGCACAAGCTTCCCAAGTGTGTAGGAGAAGCTATGCAATTCAGCCAAGGAAAAGTGCTAGGCGGCCAAGACTTATTTTCCAACATTTAATCCAATCCAAAATCTTGGAATTGGTTTAGTTAGGTTCACCAAATAATGGTGAGACCTAGATAAATCAATTCCTTGGAAAAAAAATGGAGGAAAACAAGTTCAATATGTAAAATTTAGCCTAGGCCCACTTCTAGCCCAATTACCAATTACACCTACACACCTTGCTATTTGTCATCCCACTTCTACTACTGAAAATGTGAAAATGAGTGACCCTTAATAAAAGGTCAAATAGAGCAAAAGTCTTCAAGTAACATACCTTAAATAATCAAAGGAAAATCCTAAAATAAAAGAAAAAGAGTGCCCCACAAATACAAAGGCAAAATGAACATATACAAAGAACTACTATGACCAAGCTGTTTATTTGTCTTGGGTGAGGAAACAAACCAAATGCATTTAACATTGTCTCCGGGAGGATTCAATTGCTACATAGGTCTGGACTATTTTGGACTTTATTACAAAATGTGGTTTCAAAGAGGATGATCCAAGCATATAGGTTCGGGCTTTGGATGCTAATTATACAGTGGCTATATGTTTTTGTCACTGTATGGGAAAAATGGGCGAAAGGAATATTTGTATATAATATATCTTTGAGTGGGGAAGCAAGTTCTGCTATAACGATATGCAGATATGCAAGTTGTCAAACTCTAGAGACTTAAGATCTTTAGAGTCAACACATCCTCTGAGCTGCCAAACTTATTCATGAAGAACTCTCATCATGTTCCCCCGCCTCCATAACGAGGGTGAACATAAAGACAAGGTTTTGATGAGGCTGCAACAAATTCCCTTGTGCATGAGTTCTGACAACCATACCTATGCTACCTTTACCTAATTCTTTGAACTTCCTTCATCAACATTCACTAGTAAAGTCCTTCAGCCTCCGTTGAATGTAAAGCCAAAAATTTTCCCAGTCACATTTAGTTTCTTGGAAAGTGGGAAACGAGGATTGAAATGGGAAACAAACATACACTTGATGCATGTGTGATCTTACATTTGCAATTAGCAACGTCCGTACACCACAATCCATCCAAAGATATGTTTCTCCGTTTAGATGCTTTGGAATGTGTTTTGACGGCTATTCTAACACAACCTTAGTCGACAAGGATCCCTTAGATCATGAAAGGTTTGCTATTAACATCATTGTAGCATGCCCAGTAGGATTCGGTAGCTGTAACCAAGTATTCTATATCTATCAACAATCTGACCACAGATTATTTGCTACGTGCAATACAAACCATAACAAAATTACTCAATTCTAAAATGGCTTTAGGAAGATGGAAGAATCTTTCATGGAACCAGTCTAGGCTGTCTAGCATATTTCCCCGTGATAGTTTAGATCAGAGGACTGTGTAGCACCTTAAACTCTAGGCTCCGGGCACTGAACCAAGGACAAGGGTAATGCTTTTAAAGAGAGAATAAAGGAGACAGCAGCATCATGGGAGAAGCATAATCTAGTTCCCATAATCAGGTTCAGGTCTCATCTTTAGAGTAGGATAGAATATTGAAAAAACAAATATTGGAAAAAAAAATTGAAAAAAAATCAGCTTGATTTATATATCTTCTTTTTTTTTTTAAGTCCAACTATCATTTAAATCTATCATTTATAATTACCTGTCATCTAAAAAAATTGAACTTGTTTAGATACAAGATAGAAGTGTTTTTTAGAGTATTTTTTTATTAAAAATAAAGAGTTATTTCTATTAGAAAAATTTTCTAAAATACTTTTAGACTTATATCTAAACATACTCAATGACTGAAATGTACAATATAAATATCCTTAAGAAAGTAATACCACAGAGGACTTGGTCACAAGTTTTTCCTAACCGGGGACCAATTGAACAGCAGAAATCTAGATAAGTCATCAGTCCACTGCTAGCCAAGTCAATTTGTGGCCCCGCCAATATGGTAAAAGACAAAATAAAAAATAAAGAAAATAAGAAACAATATTTATTGCTGCTGTGATGCTGCACTGTTGCCAGGATAACAATATTTATTGCTTTGTGATAGAAATGGGAAAAGATAAAGTGCAAAATAAATAAAATACTGCCCGTCATTAAAAATTAGTGTAGTTTGTTCAGAAAAATCATAAGAACCAACCATCTAAGTAGCATTCAATGAACAAAGCAACAAACTTCCATGATTGTTCAGCAACTGTCCGTTCAATGATTTTACAATCTGAATCAATCAATCACTTCACAGATTGAATGATCCCTGTAGTTAGTATACATAATGATTGTAATATATTATATATAAATAGCATACCCATTCTTCTTCCTTGCTGGCTGAATAAAATCCAGGTTTCCAACTGACTCGGACAAAACAGAAGACAAGGAAAACCTGCTGAATGTTGAAGCTGCTCAAATCACGGCTGAATGCTAATACTATATTTGTTATATACACTAATAGGCTAATTGCTATTGGTACCACCACCTCTGTAGCCCTTCAGAGCTCCATCTTCAACTGATTTGAATGCAGAGATACTGTATTACAATTTAAGTTGTTAAATTCAGATTCAAAAGTAACTTGGTAGTTAAAAAATCAGATTCAAAATTGTCAAAAACCATGAAATTATAATAACAGTCCTGCTGTTGTATATGAAAAATAATTCCTTTTGAGTAATTTATAACTTTTTACAATCTGTTGTTAAAGTGGCTTGAGTGCCCAATTTATTTATAGGTATTTGTCTTAGATTCAATATATTCCATGGAAAGGACAGACAGCTCCAATTCATGTTTATCTTTGAAGCTCAATGCTAATTGAAGTAGGAATAGGATACGATTAAATTGGACAATTTTTTGTGGAATGTCTTTGGGGAGGAGATGTGTGCAATAAGATTAACTCTGATCTACCTGAATTTGCCGATGAGTCATAACTCAGGAGTGAGTTTTCTGGTGTCATGAAATTAGTGTTATTTTCTTCCCTCCCCCAAAGGGCTTGGTGGAATGCATCAACCTGCCATGGTTGCTGATACTGTTGTCTATTTCCGTTCTGTGGGATTTCTGGCCACATGACGGGTGCAACTGTAGGGGGGAAGTTACATTCCATTGGAGATGCTCTCTACAAGTTAACGACAAAATTTTATCAGCAGAAGGAAATTAAATAAAACCTGAACATCAATGGATAATGCTGAATTGGCTCTATCACTGCATCCAAAAAACACACCGTAGTACCAGGTTAAACTGAACACACCAAAACACTCATTTTCAAATCCATATACCTGCCCCAGACCTTGATATAAAGGAGGGAGGTACGAGGACTTCAAGTGCAAGCATTTATGTTTTCACATTGTTAATCCTTGCTCAATGTCTACAGTTTTCACGGTTGATCTTGTCAGATTCCATCTTTAAATTAATTTGCAAATGTGGACTTTCCAACAGGTCTGTCATGATATCCTAGAGAATGGATGACAGTAACTGATTACTAGGAATCTCTTTCACTGTTCCCATTTTCAAGTTTACCATTTCAGTTTCTAGGCATGTGTGTGTATATATATATAACGCAAAACAGAATTAGATGGGCCGGTAGTAAAATTTTGGTCAATTGCTGCTAATCAATGAGAAAATTTAAGAGTCTCAGAAAATAGTCTAAAACTACATCGGGACTATTAATACTGCAGAAGTGTCAAATCCCCAATAAAACTGGAACATAAATTACTATAGAAGGTGATGACAAATGTTATTCCTCAAATGTTTTAGAATCAAGCCAGACATGTTCGTGTACTTTGGGTGTGGATCCTTTCATATCGATTATAAACATGGCAATGTCATGTCCAAATCTTGTGTATCTATCTCTCCTGGTAGAGATAAATAGGCAGGATCTATCTAATATTTATAAGGAGAAAGATAGATACAAAATTTGAACATGACCTATATCATGTACATGAGAGGATCCATAACCCATGTACTTTAGATTACTTCCCAGCCAAGACAAATAGATAAATTTACATTTTTCTTTCCACATAAGAGAAAAATCTATACTTACTTCGGTAGCCAATAAGTTGTCAAGGTTGAAATCAATTACTGGGTTAACTGCTGCTAATTTCATTGATAATATCTGGAATAAAGCATAAATCAATAAGAACAAGATAATACTAATGAAGATAACTCAAACAGCATTTATCATTGTATTCCAACAGAAAGATTCTACTAAATCTTCCCAATCTTCAGAGATGTCTTCACAATTGCAGTTCACTTGCAAAGCAAACTTACTACTTTGCTAAAATATCATTACAAAGAAAAAAGTTTATCATTTTATAACTTCCAGGCATATATACATTACCAAGCATGCACAATTCTAGGAGCATTCATTTCCAAGCCACAAGTCCACACTAGGCAGATAAGAATCAGACTCATTCTTAGATGAAATTCAATTCCAAGTTCTTAGAAGAAGGTTGACAGTTTATAATGCCATGTAGTACAAAATAATATGTCCATGATGGATTTAATGCAAGCAATGTTTATTTGTTCTGATGACTACCATATTCTAGAAACTTGCGATAGCTTTTTACAGGGCTACAAATCAATTTTGAAGGATCAGATAAAGACAGTGAAGAATGGAACACCAGCCACTTCTTTTAAAAGATTGCACGCATTACATTAATATTGAAGATTAGATTGCTTCTAACAACTTTTTCCTTCTAATTTTTTGTCAAAACAACTGCCTTGAATGTCAATGATATGAAAGTCTGACCTCCACTTCATGCTGTAGAGATTGCACATGGTTGATGATTTTATCCAGAACCAACGCTGTTCCTGATATCTGTATAATAGCAAATATTGTCATGTCATCTATCTTTGACTTGCTACATTAACTGTTTTGAGAAAAATCAAATACAGTCTAATGCATGCAAAAATAAGAAGAGTGGCTGCGCTAAGGCTTCTAAATTAAACATAAAAGGCCTGTAGTAGCATTGACAAAAATGTGATCAAATATGTACATGGTAAATATGTAATTAAGGCAAAAGCAAGGAGATCGATTTCAACCAGATTATTTTTCCCACCATGAGAAACACCTGCAGCTAAAATTATTCAAAATAGCACTTTAATATAATCGGAAAAGGGGCATGCTAATAACGTATTTGGTGGTTTAAGGAAATATTTTATGTTTTTCGTTTCCTAGCTTCATAAATAATTACAAAAATACCATTTTTTTATTTCCAAAGATGAGTTAAAAACAGGTCTTTTTTTTTATTATTATTTTCCCTGTTTATTTTACAACTTTTTTAAAAGATGAAACAAAGTAAAAACAAACAAGGTTATATTTTTGTAATTATATATATTTATAAAAACAATAATATATTTTCCAAATCAATCGGGCCTAAATTTCTCTGGCAGCTAAATAGAGATAGGAGTCATTGAAGACTATATAAATCTTGAGGTGTGTATCTAACTTAAATTTAGGCGACGTTAATTTTGATCATGTTCAAGTTCAATGTTCAAAGTCAGTTAGGTTTATCCGTTTGGTAGATGCACTCCAAGAGGAAATGCTTTATCTTTTCACCCTATTTTGGTCATCCCATAAATGATTGATGGATACCAAACTCCTAGAGAAGATGGAACCCTCACCGTCCCAAGATGGATTAATATTTCAATTGCCAAGGGGACCCATTCACACTGGTTTCAATACACCCACCTATGTGTCTCTCGATCGTGAAAGCCAGAGTCCAGCTAAAATACCCCCCTCTCGCCCCACACGCCCACCCTTCTGTCTCTTCACTAAGCCTTCTGGCTCGTGAAAGTGACGAGGGGGGATTACCTTAATTGTCCTGAACAAACCACGACGCATATTTTGTTTGTCCTTTTCAGAAAACAACGACTGATTTATGGCCAAAAAATTAAAGAATCACTATATTACTTGTATGTAACATTCTTGTCTTGATGTCGCTTTTTTACAGGTCATGAACAGCTTCTTTCACATTGACGTCCAGAGTCAGAAACATGTTACTGGAACGAAACCAGTTGAGGATTTGCTATTACTTATCTCAAACTTCATTCAACATCACCCGAATATTCAACGACTAATTTATGGCCAATAAAAAGATAAACGAACCACTATTGCATTTGTGTAACATTCTTGTCTTGATGTCGCTTTTTTTACAGGTCATTAACAGCTTCTTTCACATTGACGCCCAAAATCCATAATCACTATATCACCCGAATATACAAGGCTAACAGCGTATTTGGATTTCAGTTGACAAACTCTAAACTACAGCTTGCCAAAATCATGATTTGACATTTTCTTGAATGAAAAACTAAACATGTTAAGTTTCTGTTCGGATAAACTTTTCAAAAAGACTTGAGAAGGGCGAGCAACATATTCTATAAAACACTTTTTTAACATATACCATAATATACTTCTTTTAACACACACCATCCTAATTATTAAAATTGATTCAAAACTACAAAATCAATTATTAAAATTGATTCTAAACTACCAAATCACGAGTGACTCATCAAATAAAAAAAAAATCTTGCACAATTTTATAATTTTTAATAAATTTCAATTAATAATAAAAGATGTATTAGCAATATGTTACTAACATTTTTTCATAAACAGTAATAGAAATAAAATAAAAAGATAAAATGAATTAAGTATATTTCGTAACTAAAAAATAGCTTATGCAGTTAATTATAAAATTCTTTTGTTTAACTTTTCAAAGAATATTTTATCTTTTGCATACACTAATTTAAATATATATAAAAAAAAAAAAAAAACTTATTTTTTATTTTTTTATCTCATAAATATTTATTACAAATGATTTTCAAAATAAATCCTAAATAGAAGAACAAGATTGGAATGAAATTTTCTTTTAATAAATTAAACCAACACTCTACGAGGTTGTATGAGATTAAACGCTATCTTCTCTTTTATTGATGTTTACATCAACCTCTCATATAGATCATAATATAATACTTTTTAAATAATTAAGGAAGGTGGGTATAATACTCAATGAATCTAAAGGTTTTCAGATAATTAAAGGATTGTTGTAAGAATAAGAAATTAAAGGGTTATTGTAAGATTAGAAAATAAGAGGCTAAGTGCAGTCTCATGTCAGTAATTTACTTTCTTTTTTGTGGTGTACAGGAATGATGGAGTTAACCTTGAAACAGTCTTGTTAACTACGTTACGAGTTGTAACCAATTCAAAAAGCAACATCACAAGCAAAGAGAGAGAGAGAGAGAGAAGAAGGAGGTACAGTATAAAGTTACGAAAATGCCATGTTGACACCGAGTGGAAGTGAGCACTTTTCTTGATACAAAAGCATGCACTTTTTTTAGGTGAAAAGGTGACAACGACCCAACCCAGTTTATAAAATTCCATAATCCGCGGACACAATTGCACTTTTAGGAGACAAATCAGAGAGATAATCATGGCATAATAATGAAAATTGAACAAATCACAATTAATTAACTCTGGTAACCAAGAGTTAAATTGAGCTCTTAAAAAAGAAGAAAAGGAACAAACCTTGTTGCAACCCGGGACCAGCTCTTGTAAAAGCTTCATCCGAGCATTTATCTTCTCTCTCCTAGCCTACAACACAATTAAACAAAAAATAAATATATTAAATAATAATAATTAAAAAATTAAACTTAACTTTTTTCCTTATAAATAAGGGTGATTAAAGTAATTAATCAGTGGTTAATTATATAGCTTACCCTTTCTGCTAAGCTATGGCTATCAGTGGCTTTACCTCGACGAACTCGAACGTGAACGTACGGAAGCTTCTCGCCGTCGCCGGAACTCTCGTCGGCGCCGCTCTTACTCTTCTTCGACGACGCTTTAACCTGCGTTTCACACAACCATTGAATTTCGCCAAAAATTACCGAAAAATCGAAACCCTAGCTCTCGAGAGCGGTTGCGATTGAATTGCGATTCGCGAGACGTACCTTCTTCTCTCGCTCCTTCCTCTTTGCGCTCTTCGAGTTCTTGTTCTCCACGGCGGGATCGGAGACGGAGCCGCCTCCGTGAGTCGAGCTCGGGTTGGAATCGGTCTCCGGCAGCTCGCGCTTCACCTCCGGCGAGTTCTCGCCGGCGAAGACGGAGAACCTGGCGGCGCGTTCGATCAGCGCGGCGTTGGAAGGGAAGGTGAGGTTGGCGGCGCCGGCGGAGGCGAAGGAAGTCAACGGATAGGGTTTGGGACTGTGGCGCGGTGGCTTTCCGGCGCGCTCCGGCGAGTGGAGGAGCTCGACGGCCTGCGTCGGCGGTAGCTCGAGCAGCGCTGTGAAGGAATTGGCGGTTTCCGGCGGCGGAGCCATGATGCCCTGGATTTCCTCGTTGAACTGAATGGCTTCGAGCGTGGTTTGTTCCATAATCCAATTGAACCGGACCTAACCGAACCGAACCGGACCGAATTGTTGGGAAACGCAAAGGGTGGTTAAGTTTGTTTGAGAATGGGGGAATTGGTTTATTGAGAGAAGGGAAAATGGGAAGGAAATGAGAGGAATGTGTTTGGGAGTGATATAAAAAGAGGAAGTGATTTTTAATGGCGGTCAATGTGTTTTTTTCTTCTTCTTTTCTCTTTCTCTCAGTTCAATTTCCCTGTCTTGTGTGTGTTTCTGTGAGATTGCTTCTCCTCCATTTCAAGTACTACGAAAGCAACGTCGCTACTCTACTTTCTCGCTACACCCCCTTAGCCTTCTCAATTATACGGGTATTTTGGTACGCTGGTAACGGTACTGTGGAAAACCGGGTTGTAAGGATCCAACTTGTTCCATCATATTATAAATTTGAACATTATTGGATATTATATTTGATTAATTTAAATTAATCCATTAAATATTTTTATAATTATTTATTAATTTGAATTAAAAAATAGAGTATTAAATAATTTTTAATTTTTAAAAAATTTACGAACTTTATGTATTAAAAATTTGTAATTTAATAATTAAATTGTTAAAATTTGATATAAAGTATAAGTTATTGAGTGAAATGAGTATAAATAGACTTTATACTTGAAATAAATGTGGATCCCTTTTGTCTCTTTATATATATACTTGAATTAGAGCATTGAAGAATCATATGAAACTCAAAAACACAAGATAAGATATAATTTAAAATTTTTCCATCATATAATACGTACAATAAAGAATACATATATATATATATATATATATATATATATATATATATATATATTTTCATATCAAATAATAATTTATTTCATGTATCAAATTAATTTTGTAGATCTTGGATTGCTCATGGATTATTAGGAAACCCTAGGAAACAAATGTAATGGGTTAACAAGGGATAATTGAGATGTTTTGTATGAATGAGTAAACTATTAAGTTATAAATGAATATTTGAATGTTAATTGTACTTGTAATCAATTGAATTGAGAGAATTGAGTCGGGTGTGAGTTGTACATGCACTTCACTATAGTGAATTTCTCCCCAAGGCAGCAAATGCCACGTACAATATGTTGCACGTCTATGTGACCAAAGTTGAATGAGACTCATGTTGAACAGTAATTGGCACAAGTGTACACCTAGTTGCACGCCTGTGCACGCATTCTAAATGACCAAATTAGGTTTTGATGTCTTCATAAGAGTTGTATCCTTAGGTATTAGCTTTCAAATTGCATTAGGATCACTTAAAAATGATGTTTATAACTAATAAGTTATAATCAAATTAGTGAACAAAGGTTAAGTTGTCATATTTATGCTAAAATACTAGAATTTTGTATTTTTTAAAAATAGTGTAAGGTAGAATTAACTCTTGAGGTCAGCATAAAAGTTGTAAATAATTGTCTTAGCTTTCTAAAAAGATTAAGATCAACTTGATAGCATATATATATTCTTAGATAAGGTGTTTAGACCACGTGATGTCTTAAAACATTAAGTTATAGAAATGTAGTTTGTGAATGGTGATGATCAATAATTTTATCCTTTAAGTGTTTGATCTTATGAATTATTTGAAGTACCTATATTAATGTTTAGGAAGGATAAATCATAGGAGAAAAATATTGTGAATAAGTTATGATGTAAGTTTATTGTTAACAACTTGAGGTGTTTTGGTGATAGTGATGTCTAAGAACTTAATGTGTAATATCAATATGTTGCGAGACTAGTTAAGTTACTAATTTAAATGTTTAATTTTATGTTGATCTCTTAGTGATTATAGTTGAGGTATTGATATGTGATTAGATGATTTCATAATGATTTGATCTTAAGATGTATCGGATGATGTTGTGCAATTGTTATGTTTGAATTGTGAGAATGTGACTCTTGTACTAGTTAAGTTAATAATTGAATATGATATGTCGAGTAAGTATTTATGATATTGTAACACATAATTAATGTAAAAGATGTGAATTGATATTGGCAAATCGATATGTATGGATCATGTGAGGATCATATGATGGAAAGTCTACGAGAAGCTTAACCATGATATGAATATGAAATGCTAGGAATTTATGTATCATTGTGGATGTGTATTGTTGTAATATAATAATGCATCGAGTCCTATTTGGCATGCCTCATATGCATATTTGATGGAATCATGCTTTGGAGTGCAAGAGGTGACATACTCAAAGATCCAAGAGGAGTGGGCTAGACATGGAAGAATGGGTCAGTCAAGGCCCAATGGGCCCTATGGGCTTGGAAGGCCCAAACCAAATTTCAACATGAGCCTATCTTGTTATTAACATTCTTATTATATTTTTGTTAGCATAGTTTGAATATATTTTGGTCTTGTATTTTGGACCACATAGAGTAGCATTTTAGGTTTTAGGCTTGTTGGGCCTAGTTTTGGGCTTCATGAGCCTTTGGGTTTTTGGTACCTAATATTAGGCTCATTTTCATTCTTGTAATTTTTCCTTTCCATTGTATTTGTTGGACCAATGTATTTAGGTCATTAGAATAGGAAAATACAAGGAATACTAAAGTAGGCTAATTAGGTTAAATTAGGTTTAATTTGGAAGCCATTTAAGTTACATTTGAGTCACATGTTTTACACCTTTGGTGGCTGAACATGTGACACTCAAATTAACCCTAAATGTCCTCCAAATCAAACTTAAATGCAAAGGCTCACCTAAACTCACGGCCACACACATGTGCACCTAAATTTGAATTCAAATTTCAAATTTGAATTCAAACTTTAGGCGCCAACTTGTATAGTTTAGTCTAGGCGCCAATGCCACTCAAAACCGTGCTTACTTAAGTGTTTTTCTCCCTCATTGTATTCACTTTTGAATATATTGAATGTCTGACTGAAATCTTCAGCAATTCTTCAAGAGTCACCGAGTTTAGAGAGAGCAAGAGAGAGTGCCTTCAAACACCTTAGGAAACCCTAGTTCCTTCCCTTTGAAGTGAGCAATCTCTTGATTGCTTGAGCTTGGATGCTTCCTTCTAAGGCTTAGGCCTTCCAATCCGCAAGTTCTTCTCCTTCTAAAGTGTTCATCACTTCGGTCATATCTCCTTTGAAGAAGATCCGTGCCTAGGAGAAGCTAAGGAGAGGTTCATTCATCACTTCTCCCACCTTCTCCATCAATATTTGTTTTGGATCAGTATGATATGAAATAGGCTATCAAGGAAGGTCTCCTTGTGTAAAATCTTAGGGACTAGTCATTGAGAATAACTATGTTTGGGAAATCATAATCTCATCCATTTATGTGCATAGGGTTGAACTTGCATGACATAATGGTATATGTCCTCCTAGTGTAAAGTGTGATGAGGGTGTGATCCTACATGATTTCCTAGGCTACTTTGTGGGTTGTCTCATGGCAATATACCACAGTTTGATTTTATTGGCGCCACATGCATGAGCATTTTGCAGTCTATGTCTATTGCATCGTGCATGTGAATGAATCTATGTGTTGAATTCGTGATGTTTATGAAGAAATACATTATATTATCAATTATATTGAATCTTTCCATTTTATGATAAGTTGTGTTATTTCCATGTTTTTGCAATGACTTAGTTTCTTACTATATTGTTGTGTGTATTTGACTAGCCGACTATATTCTACACTATGGGCCAAAGTAAGATATTTCTTACTCCACATTTTTTGTATTTGTTATGTTTGGATGTTACTATAGTGAGATTCATCATGATGTTGATGATGTCGACAATGAGATCTAGTCTTGCTTTTGGGATTTTTACTCTAATAGAATGTGACATTGAGGCTTAGTTAGGATTTGATTTCTTTTGTTTTGCTTTTATGATAGTTGTTATTTCCATTGGATTAGACTTCAATTGGTTTTTGTCTAGTTAAAGTGTGATATTCTTTATGTTGGACAACATGATTTTCATTAATGATAGACTCTTTTGATTCAATTTACTTATTGTACTAGTATGATATTTTGGCATAGAGGGTGTCACATCAAGTCAATAAATCATGCTTAAAGCATTCTCAATATCAACACCTTAACAATTATCATTTATATGCATTACTCGAGGTCATTGGATATAGATCTAAGACCATTAATCAATGTACAACACAATTTAACTTCAATAGTTCAACCATGTAACCATCTACATATATTATCGCAGATCAATAGATATAGTCCCCAATCACAGCAACATACAACATGTAATAGGTTCATCTAACCTATTCATATTCACCAATTAATCATATAAACAAGTTATTACAATGTAACCTATGCCCAACGCTATCCACCTTGCGTTTGGTGTCGTTGATGCAAGGAACCCTTTGCCTCGCCCATGCTTAGTGCCATTCAACTTGCACCCAACGTGGATGAAGTAGTGTCCCCTAGGTCTTCACCCTTACTGTGGCAAAATCCTATGCTCAACTTCAATTCAGGCAAAGGCGAGTCTCTCTCCTCACATCCAATGTCACTCCGTTTAGGCATAACCAATTCTCTCACCTCATGCCTGACACCATTCAAACAACGTTTGGCACCATTTCAACTCTAGGCAATTCTCTCTCCTTACGCCTAGCGCCACCAATCCTACGCTTGATGTGACCAAGACAAAGAACCTTTAATTGAAATCATGCCCAATGTCATGAAGGCACGCTCGATGCGATGATGAGTTCTACACATAACAGACTTGCGAATTGGCCCTCCCTTTACCTGAAAACTAGAAAATAAAACATGCATTGCACCAAAACATGTCTACACATCATTAACAACTCATATGCCACAAGAAATTCAACATGCAATCACCAATTTGATAAAAAATAAAAAAAAAACCAACAAGTTCACCTCAAACATGCTTCAAGCACCAAAACTTAACAATTTCATCATATAATTTAAATCCAACCAGCATGATAACAAATTGATGAAAGGAAATCGACAAACATCTCAATTAACTCAAATTCAACTTTTGAAATCAACATGCAACTAGTATTATTCAAAATTCATTGGGTTCCCTGGAAAACCAAGAACACCCAAACTCCACTACCAAGCATCAATATCATGCAATCCCACCGGTGTAAATACAACTAATTCATGGAAAATAACTTAACACTCGATCAACAATTTCAACTAGTTTCCTCTTACCTCACCAATTCGAGGGAGAAGGAAAAAATAAGAATTTAGAGCTACTATCACTAAGATGCTTCGCAACGACTTTCAATTCTCAACTATAAGCTTCAAATCACCCAAAATAATCCTGTACGACTCTGAGGAAAATGAGAAGAAGAAGAAAAACTTTTAGAACTTCATAGCTTCTCTCACTATTATCCCTTTAAAGTTCTTTGAGAGAGTTTACAAG